TCTTTACTCCAAACTTCAGTTGATCTAGCATGTCTCCTGACTAAAATCAATTATACAAGATGCATAATTAATTATAGAAGTCCGTTATAACATGAACTCCTCTATCTCACAGGCCAAGATTCATAATAGTTAGAAGCTCAGCCTCTTAACAGTGTTTCCAGTACTGATTATCCCCTCTTGCTTTAGTTATGTTACAGTAACTATGGCAGTGGTGTTCCCTCCATGGGTCCCCAGAGATGTGTATGTATGTATGAAAAGGCAGAAAGGGGAACAGGAGTTTGAAATTTGAGTTCGGCTAGATATGTAATTGCAGTGGTTAGGAATGTAAAGGGCATGGTAAGGTCACCTGTGTGAAGCTGAGAGAGTACAAGCGCAGTTGATGCACGTGCTGACATGTGCCACTGACCTGTGTGGATGGAAATGTGGTTCTTAGGCATTTTCCTTTTCATTAGGTGAGCAGGAATTGCACATAGGCAGGCCTGGTGCAGTGTAGGCTTTTTTTAATGGAAAATAGTAATTGCCACCTAAAACTCACAAAAAAATGAGATTTTGTCACTTCATCTGTATTGAGGGACATGGGGTTGTTTTCATCTCAAGCTTCGTACCTAACTCTGCTGTCCTCTAGGCTCTGGTGGTCTTCCTTGAGGACCCTTTTCTGGGTCCCTGTTCAGGTCTCCCTCTCCTGCTCTCTGTCTCCTCTAGAAATCCGCTCCTCTCTCTTCCCTGGCCACCGTCCGTGTGTCTGTTCCTGTCTCTGGTTCCCATTTGCCTGGGCTGACGTTTGTTGATATGAAATGGGGTAGGGAAGCAGAGCCGTGGAGACCACAGAATGAGGAACCCTGTGCAAGGAGTTGGACGGGGAACAGCCCCGGCAGGGAAATGGCTATTTGCCTCTTCCCTCAACCTGCCTGTGCACCTGGGCTGGTGCTGTGGTCTGCTCCCAGGGCTCAGCTCCAGGCTTGCCTCCTCTGACCCCCTGTGAGGACGTGGGATGTGGGGAGACCTAGGGAATGTTAGCACTTGCCTGGAGGTTGGAAAGATCCAAGCTGGCAGCACGGAGAACGGCTGCCGTTCAGGGAGCAAGGCTTTGGTGTGGAGCTTGGCTGCTGAGTCCCGAACCATCCTCTGTTTCCATCTGCCTGTGCTGCCCCTTCCTCTTCCTGAGTCCACTGCCTTAACAGTGCAGGCAATGCAGCTACAGCAGGACCTAGGTGGAGCAGCTCAGGCGAACTGAGGAACAAGCATTGTCTGTACACCCTATTTCTTTGGTTTTGGGAGCACTCCTACAATTTACAGCCCAGGCCACTCTCTAGGGGGAAAGCAGCAGGAAACTTAGCAATGTAAGACGATGCCTTTTTCTTGGAGGTGCAAGCTCCACTTCTCACGTACTTTTAGCTGTAGCACTCCCTTCTGCGCTCTCCTCACAGCCTGTGGGCCTTATGAGCTAAAATGGGGCTCAGGCTACTGTGGGGATGTGGGGGAAAGTATTGCAAAACAGGTACGTGGAGAAGCAAGGCTCGGCAAGCTGTTGCTTGGTCTAGCAGTATGAAAAAGTTTGTGGTTTGCCAAAAGCAGTCCCCTGTTTGACAGACCTTTGGGGCCCAGGAGTTGGCAAATGAATAAACCTCCCGCTAGTCTCATTTTTTTATGTCTTTATAAGGAAGCACAATTTGGCAGGGGGAAAAACTGGATGAAGTGAAACTAGGATGGTTGATGTGTTTTACTGTCTAAGAGCCCACTCATCCCATCTAAGTTTGTAAGAGGCTTGTGTGCTACGCAGGTTGCTTGGGAGAGAGTAACCAGTTACATGTCCCTCCTTTGCAATGAAGAGCAATAACGTGCTTTGCTGGCATTAACAGACCTTCAGCTCCACAGACTTCGCTATTTTCCTTCCATGTGGGTTTGTGGGTGTAACTGAGAGCAGTACGGCTTTGTTTCTGTTCTTCATGCTTCCTGTGTGACTATACCTGTACAGCATATTTGGTGCAAAAATAGCAAAGGAAAGACAAGAAGTAGAAAATTATGTAATATAAATTGGAGTCCTTCGGACCACGACTTAGGGAGGCTCACAGGTGCTGTACATCTCTCATGGAATGGGACCTGAGCCTATTTGTTTCCTTTAGTGCACTGTCATGATTGTGTGGTTTCACTGCATGCTTTAACCCAGTACTGGCTCCTTCCAGTCACGCACTGAGCACGCAGGGCAAATCATGAAACTGCTGGGCTCCCACTGCCGTCCTGCCCCTCCAGTAGGATGCTCCACTGTAAAATCTGGAGGCCATCCACTGAGCCTTAACACAACCGACATTGGGTATGATGTCTCAAACGTGACATTATGTTTTTGAGAGGTGCACTAGATGATTGAGATGAATATGTAGCACCTTAAGTGAAACAGCACACAGCCCTTCTGTCCACTGGCCGGTTTTACAGGCGGTGGACGGTGGAAGTAACAACTTTTTTCTTTTCTTTCAAAAGGCTGTGAAAACTGAGCAATGCTGTATTTTATCTGAATGGATTATTTGCACCTTAAAAGGCAGACAGTTTCTGTCAGCAGGTTATGTTTCCCTGCTTCAAAAGGCACAGTCTTTCAATTTGTTGGCTTAAAAAAATGAACCTACTGCAAGCTCCTGTGCTTCGCTTTTCTACGCTAGCATGTTCGATGGTAAGGTGGTGAGGTACTTCCTGTTTATCTACAAAAATCTCATCTTCCAAATCAAACTTGGCTCTCTGGGGACCTCATTAAGCCAAGGTGGAGCCTTGCCATACGGGTGAAACAAACCATGTTAATATTTCACTAGCCTTTGCATTTCTTGACGGTACAATACTTCTTCCACATGTGTTTGGTCTCATTCTAGGTCCCAGTTGCCGGTGCGTCATTCTGGGGCTGCTCTGAACAGACCTGCTGGTGCTTTCAGTTCGCTGGGGTGACAGAGGGAAAGCCGTGCATGCCTGATGAATGCACCGCAGAGCTGGTTGGAAACTCAAACAGGTAAAGTGCCTGTCCCCAGCACCCCTCCTCGCCTTCCTGAGGGTCTTTGGACTCTTCCCTACATGCACTATGGTATGGGCAGAGTATTGCAAAGCATCTTCGAGAACCATTTTGTTTCACGTGTACTTGTTCTCTGGAAGGCTGACCTTTTTATTCTTTCCCTTCTGCCTGCAAGACCTGTATCCAGGTCATGGAAAGCAATTAGAGAAGTTTCATGCCTTTTGTTCAAATCCATTTAGGCTGTCCTTGTTTTTCAGTTTAAGACCACTGAGGTAGAGTCTATTTCAGAGAAACATTTTTTTCTTATTCTGAAAGGTAGTCTATGAAAATAATTGTACCTTTATCAGCTGAGCAAGAAATGCAATTAAAGGTCTATTTCTGGGCCTATTCGTACCTAACTTGCTCCAACTTTCCCAGTCCTCCACCTAAAATAATTAGTCCTTACATCATACAAGGATTGGCCACTAAAACAAAAAGAGCAAACTGAATTTTTCTAGAAGACAGTTTTCTACTACTTTTTTTAAATGAGGAATATCAATGATTTACTGGATTGATAATTTATATATTTTTAAAAAAAACTTAAAAATATCAACATATCTAATGGCCTGAACTAACAACTCAGTGCAGAAACTTAGTGCAGAAGCAATTACCATGGATTTTTCTCCACACAGATACTGTGACTGAGTTCAAACGGGGCAGGGGGAGGCGGAGCACAAGTGCATAATGAACCATCTAGCTTACCAAAATAGTAGGGTGAATGCGTATGTGCTTAACAGCTTTGGTGTTAGCTGGAATGACACCAAGATGAAATACGAAGATAAAAGAGCCTTACTTTCTTCCATTAACTTGAGTGCAAATCATCCGGTGTGTTATGCGCAGCCTGAGACCTAGTACATCCTTCCTTTTCAACTGTGGTGCAAATTTTTAACCAAGTTAAAGACTGTCTGCTTGCTGCTGTAAACCTCTGGTGCAAATATCGCTAAGAGTAATTTTTAAGAGCATTATTTTGCAAGAGCAGATGCACAGTATCCAAGCTAGAGCTGAATAAGTGGTGCAGAAGAAGGGCGTGAGTGTTCTTTTCAAACTTCAAATGGCAGTTTGGTCTTTACCTCCTTTTCATCTTCTTTCCTGCAAACCTGAGCATGAAGCATAATCACTTTTTTGTGTCAGTGTTGGGAGGAAAACTTAGCATGACACAGTTATACACAGTTATTTGTGAACAAAAATTTTTGATTTTGACTGGGGTCAGTCACTGCTCGTGATTTGTTATTTCCATTGATTCATCATGGACAAAAGCAACATGCAATAACTTGGCTAACCAATCATCCCACCAAGAGAAAAACAGTGTGTGCTGTATTTCAATATTTTCTCACACATTATTTGTAAGAATTCTTTGTAAAAGGAAAACCACCCTGTCCTCCTTCCCTGTCTTCCACAAGAAACAAACACACATACACACAAGTATTCACTTGGTTTTGGTTAATAATAGCTTTAGACAGTCATGGTGCTCAAAGAACTTTGCAAGGAGATATATATATAAACTGGAATGAAAAACCGAATCCTTGGAAGGATGTTCTTAGAAACTCAGAGAAAAATTCTCCCACAAACATTCTTAGTTTTTATTTGGGAGAAATCAACCTGACTCAGTATCCTCTTCCTCACAGATTCATTTAACATCTTTCTATCCTAGGAAAACCTTTCCCTTCTCCCCTTTGTCTATATTCAAACCGTAACCAAATCAAAGTCAGGCTAGAAGCAAAATCCTGAAAAAAGGAGAAATGAGAAAGCTGACTGTTTGTTTTTATTCCCCCATTTAAGAGACAGACACACAGTGCAAATACGCACCCATCGACACGGGCTGTGTTTTGAATTCTGGCGTTACAGGGGAGCATCCATAGGTTCTTCTTAACAAAAGGGAAGTTTTCCCGGAAGAGAAATGAACAACATCCTGGAGGGAAGCTAGAACTGGGACTGCATGCAAAATGGTTGCCTGGAGAAGTCCTTGCCACATTTATTTATTTACATTAATGCAGGCATATTCTGTAAATTCATTTTCTACAGTTAGTTCCCTTCTCTGGCATCTTTCTGCAGAAGCAGAATGATTTAGTGCAGCGTATGTGAGGACATCTGGGCTTTCAAGTAAAACTGGGATGGAAGGAATAACAGGATCATTGCGAAGTGCATTAGGTGCTGTCCTCTGAGCACTCCAGGGAGGGACATCATTGTCATAAATTGCGTTGCCGTGCAAGGCCTGCAGTGGGCTAGCCATGGAGCAATAGTAAAGGGAGGAGCTTTCTTCTGGAGCTTGAGTTGTCCCAGCAGCATGGGATGGAGCAGCCACTGGACTTCTGACCTGCAGAAAACAGAACAGGGTACAGATCTGTGCACATCTCATTGCTTGCCTGTGCTCCTGCTAAATAAGAGGCGTGTAAGATTTTGTTCAAGTTGCTTTATCCCCTTAAAACTGCTTTTGAGCACAGGTGAATTGGATTCGCCTGGACACGGGATTTTAGGTTGATCTTTGATGTAAAGTTAGAAATCATTCTTGTATCTCCTGCCTTTCTCCATTTCCCTTCCCAAACTCTCATGTCTTTTCTTGCAAGATGCCAACTTAAGGCAAAACTGATTTATCATTTTGTGAGAGCTCTTCTATGCCACTCATTCAAGGCTTTCCCTTCTCAGTTTATGAAATCTTTCTTATTTTCATCTCCAAACCCCAGACTACCCTTTCCTCATTGCCCCTGTTCTCCCATTTCCTGACCTCTTGCTTCTTATTATTTTGTCTTACTATTTCTCAAACAAATCTTTCTCTTTCTCCAAAATCTGCAAATTCCTCTATAAATTCATGTCTCTCTAATGAAGTCCTCTTTTGACATCCATTTTTCTAGCCACTTAGAATATACTGTTTTTAATCTTCTTTCTTCCAACTTGCCCTTTGGGAGCCCTGCAACCTGTCTGATGCCCTTTGATCCCCACCAACACTTCCCCTCTGATTGATAGCTGTCAGCTCCGGTTGCATCTTTTGCGTTCTGCCTTCTGCCCATCTAATTTCTCTGGAACCGATCACAAGACTTGTGTGAATTCACGCTACCCACATATGAAAATCTTTCTTTTCAAACATTTTCCTCGCTCTGTGGGTCTTTTTTTTTCTTACACAGACAGTCTGAACCAGATCAACAGAGGTGCTTTAGGTGCCTAAACTCTTACTGGAATGGTACTTACAAATTAATACGTTTTAACAGGAATTTAGATGCCTGAAGTACCTTTGTGGCTAAGACCCTTAGTTCCTTCCCTCAGCTCAACCATGGTGATATCTCACACCAGACAAGCTAAGCTGTCCAGGCACCAAGAGGGTCACTAAATCTGTCTCTGATCCTATGCCACGTTTTGTACTACACAAAGATTTGTTCTCGGTCCGTGGTTATGCAAGGCGTGGTCAGGTTTTGATGATGGCAAAATTTAAACGTACCAGGCTCCCTTGTCTCTGTGGGGTTAATGGAGTTCTCTTTTGCTTTGCTGGGAAGAAGAAAAAAAAAGATGTTTCAATAAATCAGCTTTGAGAAGGTCAGTTTCTGCTTAGGGAGGGAGTATTAATTACTATAGGAGTCCTTGCCTTCTTGAGTAGACCTCAAAGAATAAAAATCTATTTCCAAACTGGATTTGGGAATAGCTATTCTGACAAAAACTAACAAACACAGAATGATATATTTATAGAATGAGTTTCTGTGTTCCACAGAGCTCTTCTGAATAGCAGCAGAAAAATGCCTAGTGTACTTGTGGCCAGTTTTCTATGTGTTCGGTGAACTGGTTGGGGAGAAAAAGGCACGGAAAATCCTAAAGTCATTCTATGAGCAAACATGTTAAATTTTATTGGAAGATGAATTAATTCAATTTTCCTAAAATTAAAAAAAAAAACAAACAAAAAACATGGAATTATAATAGACAAATGTGAAATCACTTAAATGAAGATATGGGGCACTCCAAGTTCCATTCTTGATTCAGGACATGGCAGCTGTGTAAGAGTTCTTGTGAAGCAGGAGAGAATAATACTGTAATTATTTGATAATTTAAAGGGAAAACTAGGAATATAAAATGTAACTGGATAGAGCTTAACTGCATTTGTGTGGCTAAAACTCCTATTTATTTCTAACTTGATTATTTGCAAAACAGGAGAAAAGTTTCCAACTATTATAAAGTCTGAGATTTTTATTTGTTCTTACTTTGCTTCCATCCCTCTGTCTCTGGAAGAGAACAATACAGGGGCAAACTAAATTCTTAAAGATTCAGTATCCTAACTGGCACACTTGACACTGGCACACATCTCAGCAATCAGTTGGAGTAATTATTAGGGGATTTTCATAGAGCTTTGAATGCAACTTCTGTGAAGCTGTGAAAAGGAGTGGAATCAAACGCATACTAGGCAAAGCTTAGATGGTAAAACTACTTACCATGGTACCTCCTTAGACACCAAAACATGCATACGACGATGAATGGACAACATAGACCCACAGACGCTGAAGCATAAATAATGTGCAGTATCTTGTAGTTTCCAGATTCTTGGGACTCTTCTGAGATACTAGTGGTATCTAAAATTACATTAACATGTATTAGCATAGAGAAGTATTTGACTGGTTGTTTTTTTTTTTCATTAGGTCTTTCTGATGTAACTTGCTTCTTAATGTACCTAATCATTCTTTAACTTGGTACAACATGTCATCAGATAACCGTCTCCATGGGCATTCTACGAAGTACGAAGATACTGGAAGGAAAAGTTCATGGGAAAGTGTAGTCGATGAATGATGCATGGCAGAAGGCTGGCAGGAGCAAAGAAAGGGTCAGAATTAGAGCAGTGCTCTGAACTTCCAGCATATTTTTGCAATTGTAATTGTGAGCAATAATCAACCATGAGTAAAAACCATACTTCGGGCTATGTTAAAGTGACGGTATAGCATGATTTCTAATACTTTGTAGGTATAAGCCATATATCGCTGGGATATTAAAGCGCATGTCAGAAGTGTAGATTATATCACCAGGAGGTAATTTGATGGGCTTTGTCCCTTTTATGCTGAATGCTGGACAGTCATAGCCTTGAAAACTGTGACCCTTGAGAGATTGTATCTTGTTCAAGTGGGAAGAAAGCAATTGTAGTTTAACAATGAGGTTAAATTTGTCTTGACTGCACAAAACACTAACCAGAAATTCATAGCAATACAGATTAGTTCCTTTCTCTTAAAGAGGAAATAAGAATCAGAACTTACTTTCTGGTGACATTGTGATAATGTTTGCAGACTTTTCTGAAAAAGAAAAACAAGACAGGGAAATGAAACAGCAACCTGACATTTTGCACTGCAGTTGTTTTCTCTGCACAGCATACTGAAGTCTTCACAAGGTTCCCTTTCAATCTGCTGATGAAATAGGGAACAAAATGCAACAGGCAAAGGGTAGGGTGTTCTGCGGGGAGGGGGAATGACATGTTGGTCTCCCACTGCCAACAGAGTAATCCTATCTTCCAGACCTCTTTGGCATTCAAACAAATAGATCAGCAGAACACATATTTCAAAGGAAACTTGCATCATGAGCTGGGCATATACTGTGTCTGCTAGCATATTACAGCCATAAATTTTGATGTTGCTCCCTCTGTTGCAGCATTTCATGGGGCAATAAACAAGGTTTTTAAGTTCACTAACTTACCAGAAGAGGAACTGGCAACAGAACAATCGTATACCTCAGCTGCCTGGGGTCAGTAGGACACTACAGCCACAGAGATCACTTTCTAGCTGCAGAGCAACATTGACGAGGGCAGGCGTGGCTCGTCATAACCTAGACTTGGCATCCCAACTGCCTAAGTTAACGTGAAGGCCTCGCTTGCCCTTAACTCCTCAAAGATCATTTAAAGCTATTGTAATCTTTCCTGCTCTTGAACTTCTTTGTGTACAAAACTATACTTTCTCTCTGTTTCTTGCAAGAGAGATTATTCTCAACAGGACGCTTGAATTGCTTTGTCCTCTTTACTGTCGTGTGGCCTCATCGACTGCTACTACACGACCATTTGCATCCTGTCTAGTCCGTGTGATGTATAATCAGGCTGTCCTCCCACAATCCTTTTGTGTTCCAATTTATATTTTTTTATTATCAGGTAGTCCACTAATGGCTGTTTGGTGTCGGCAGCTTTGCTTTTCTCTTCCAGATCCTCCTGTTATTTATTTTGTTATTTCCTTTCCCCGGGACCAAGAGGCAGGATAGAAGCAGGAAGAAGGTGGCAAATACCACCACAACTGTGCTACCAGACAAACATGTTGGGAGAAGCCATCGTCCAGTATGCATGGTCTTTCCTGTATGTGGCATCCTTTTGTTTAAAAGCTCTTTCATAATATAGGGGCCTCACCTTCAACGATAACCTTTATTCCATGGCTCTCGCTGGAAAAGTTGTCCACTATTGCTCGACAACGGTAAATTCCGCTGTCATTCTGATTAACTGAGAAAAACTCCAGAGTAAACATGTTGGACTTCAATTCTGCTTTGCCCTCCTTTAGCAGCACACATGTATCCACCTCTATCTTGCACCACTGCATGACTGGCTTTTTCTTGCAGTAATAACGAACTGGACAGTCTATAGTCAAAGAGCTCCCAAGATTAATTTCATACTGGGAGTTTCTTTTAACTTGAATTTCAACTGGACAATAGGTGGCATCAAATCCTGGAAGAGAAGAAAAACAAAAGTCATGGTGGAGGGGGTCTGCTATATACTCCCCATAACACTAATCAGAGTTTCCTTTCTCTCTCACGACTCAAGACTTCCTTTGTCTGCTTGCAGGAGATCTGATCTCTGTATGGGACGGTGATAGCAGATAACATCAAGACTATTGGTTCTTTCATTTTTAGGAGGATTATTAAAATGCACTTTCTCCCTCTGATATGAATTTTTCCCTTTTTTCCATATCTCAGTCAAGTTAGAAATTTAATAGTTTAGAAATAAAATACATAAAACACACATAGCAGGTTTTCCTGTGTCATCCTTCTCACAGACCTTTTCTGTTACTTTTAGATTTACTTCAGATTATTGTTTATTTCACAATTCTTGTTAACTTGCAGAAGTAAAGGCTTTTCTTTGGTAGAGATTTTTTATAATTGTCATAATGAAAAGAATTATATTAAATGCAAATATACCTTATCTCTATTTTTAAATTTTTGTTATGTTTTGTTAAACTCAGTGTTCAAGCTATGGTATGTCACCTTAACTCTGCGTCTTGGTATTTAATGTCCTGACCTTTTATTAAAGATTCATGTTTCTTGTGGTGCTTTATTTCTCTGGCTAAGTAAAAGTAACAAAAACTATGTGATACCCACATGCTCCCTACTTCTCTATCCTGTCTTACAGTACAGTGCTTGTGCACTGAAGAAAGTCGTTGCTCGCAAGTCCAGAGAAAGAAATCTTAAATATATCTATATCATCTGGTTGATAGAGGGGAGTAGAAAAAATGGCAAAGTATGTTGAAGGCAAATTTTGTAGGGAGGAGAAATGTATAGGGGAGGAAAGAGCAGTGTGGAGAGGGGAGTGGTCTGTCTGTCGGCAGCCAGTGCTGCTTCAAGGGACGGAGCCTCTGGGACCCCAGGCAGCCAGTGCACATAACCGCAACACTGAACGCCTCACCTCCACCGTCAGCCAGGATTTCTTATGCATGTGATATAGCAATCCTTGTGAATAACTGGGTATTATATTCAAGAACTTGGAATGGCCAGATTAACAGTTTTCATTTACGACCTCTATTTTGCAAGCCTTTTCTCTACAAATCTCAGACTACTCCATACCATAAATAAATTTTAAAGCACTCAGTAATACTGAGTTTTAAGCACATGTGTGTTCATAAACTTCATTACAGCAGAGCTAACGCTTTGCTGCTGTTGATTTTTCGGTTTACTCTCTTTAAGGTGACTTTGGGCACGGGCGTCTAAAAATTAGGTGGCACTCATCTACCTCTAAACCTAAATCTTTAATATTTTTCTCATTTTGCCCTATCAAATGTGCCTGATCTTGCTTGATAATAAGGAAGAGGCTATTCACTGTAAGGCTGTTATTTGCAGCCACTGCAAGAAATTGTGGTCTCTGATATATCTCTGCCATGTGCAGTAGAGAAACTCATCTCATTGCAGGACTCGGCATCCTGGGAAGCTTCTGCTTTGAGGGGTCCAAATCTGAAATCATCCTTGTGTACCCACTTTCCCTTAGTCAGGATGGCTTTAAATGAGGATTGAAGTGGGGCGAGTAGAGTGGCAAAAGCACACAGGTAAGCGACTTGGACGAGGACTTTAGAATTGGTCCTTGCGGAAGGGGCAAGCGGAGGAAATTCAGATAATTTGGATGGAGATGAGAAAACGAACAAGGAGGACAATAGCTCTGGGTGCAAACAATGTCTTTTTACTAATGAAAAAAGTCTGGATAAAAACCAAGAGGAACTAGAAGCCTTAATTCAATCAATATCCCTAAGAAGAGAAGAAAGGAGAGCAGCAGAATAAAAATAGTTGGGTTTGGCAAAGAAAGCTTTAGTAAGTTTGGAGACCCGGGAGATAAGAACTCCTCAGATGTAAATACAAAGGAAAAGGACATAAACAGAGCTGGTGGTCCATCCAATAAATGATGAGAGTACAAGCACTAAGCATCTAGACTACAGTGGTGCAATAAAAAACTATCTTGGATAAATCATGAGCAAGCTCTTCACAAGAAGGAAGCCTCCAAAAGCATAAAGAAGGTCAGGTTATTAAGGAGGGGCATAAAAGAACTGAGTAACATTGGAAAAGTCATGGCAGAGAACGAGAAGCACTTAGGAAAACACATCAAGTGTAAGTATATTGATCATAAAACTCAGAAAATATTAGTTCACTAGTCAGTGGAGAGAAAAAGCTATCAATAGATTACCAGCAGTAAATTAGATGTACCAGATAAATTAGAGAAATTATTTGTAAAAAGGCAGCTCAGTTCAAGGAGATATACAGGGGACATGCGATAACCTTTGTGTTCTGCTAAGGACTGGTAAGTGTACCTAGGTCTTGTCCAGTCTTTTGCACTGCTCTTCAAGAAAGAAGGAGGGCAATGCTTGGAGTCTCTCCAAGTTGGAAAGAAGCCAGCAAATACTATGAACATGATAAGAAGGCCATGAAGGAAAGCTTGAAATTCTTGGGGTTGTTTCACTTAAAGAAAAGCAGTGAGAGGAAAGGACATAATAAAATCATGGAAAGACATAAAAGAAGAATGAAATAATCTGTTTTTTCATGTTTATGTTAGGTATAGGGAGAAATAATGGGCTAAAGGTGAAGTAAGGAAGGTTGATTACGTAGATTAAAAAACTTCCTAACTGTGAAAACAGTAATATTGGAACTGGTTTCTGTGGAAGCTTGTAGAGTTTGAGTCACTGGTGGCCCTGAGGACTAGCCTACACTGACATCTGTCAGGATAATATAGCTGAATTTACCTTCTAACCTGTCAGTGTATGTAGTCATGTAGATAAGCTCATGGACATCAGGTCCATAAACGGACACTGAAAGGCCTTGGGAAAGATGTACATGCTGATGTCCCCAATGAACTGTTCCATTGCTGGGGGGGCAGGAGGGGAATGGACCACAGAAAGTGGCCGTGCTCATGTGCTCTCCCTGAACAGCCTTTCTTCTTGCTGCTGCCAGAGACAGAGCACTGGTCTTAGGCAGTATGACATTTCTTATGTGGTCTCCACTGATACACAAGATGTGCTCAAAATCCACTTTTTGCCACAGCATTGCCACGACAGTAGCTCCTGATTATAAATAAATATATGGTGTACAGGAAGAGATATTCCTCCAGGGACCATCCATCTGGATGCGGTAGCAATAGCAATATATTTAATGTATTTAATATAACATTTAACATATTGTATGATATTTAATGTGAACAAAATAATTAAATTTAATATTTAATATATTAAATATACATAATATGTATTTTTTAATTGCAATGTATATGATGTGGCAAATATGTTGCAATAGCAACAACTCTAACGTGTAGAGCCTGGCCATGTTCACAAGGTAGCATTTAGGTGTTAGGTCAGCACGCCCTGCCCAGTTATCTAGTCCCTTTTCTCCTCCCCCGAATAAGATCTTTCTGAAAGACATATTTTAGTTATGAACCAGGATCACTTATCTTTCACTTAGACCTTCCACCTCTGATTAAAAGAAAGCATAATTTCATTTCAGGCAAGTCGGTCATATCTACTTTGGTCACACCACAGTAGGAGCACATGGTTATCAACAGTCTGAAAATGGAAACTAAAAGCTCAAATTAGAAAGTAGAGGTTTCAATTATTTGAGCAATGATTGCCATGGAAGATAACGCTTCAGGAAGTATCTATAAAGCTCGGATTGTACCCTGATAGCAGCCTTCTTTCTGATATAATCCTATGTAACAGGTATTTCCAGAAGGATGTGCAGGTCTCTGCAGAACAGATATTTTCTGATGTCTTCATCTAATTACTTTATCATATAGTTTTGTCTTTTTCAAAATTGTCCTTTTTTTGGGGAAAAAAAAAGAACAGCAACAAAAAAAATCCAGAACAAACCCCAAAACTTTTCTAGAAGGTCCAAAAATTCCAATTTCTCTCGAAGTTTTAAAACAGATTTCAGTGATGCTCTTTCATTCAGCATCATTATTAACCAGGGAGAGGGGCAGAACCTCCCAGAGAGAGGGAACAGGGGTGATACTGGGTGCACAGAAAGTTTTGAATTACCCTGCAGCCACATCCTGAGTGGGAATATATAAATTTCCCGAGCAGAAGCCTTACTGAAGTCTGGATATACTTCTAGAGTCGTTTTTGTGCAGCCCTTGCTCTGTAAGTGAAAGGTATAAGAAGTTCAAGTGTTACATGCTTGCACTGGTATCACAAGAAACTTCCCTCCATACAACTTCCTGTACTACTACCAATTAAGTCATAAGGAGCTATTCCAGTGCTAACTAAGGGTTTACTTGGTTACCATTTGTCTTTTTTAAAAAAGTTCCACTGGCATTATATTACTTGTATTACTTTTGCTCATATAGTATATTTTTAAGAGAGTTCGAATAAAATGTGCTAGTACGTCTCTCAGTCAGGTGAGCTTGAAGAGTGTTTCTCCTTTTTTCCCAAGTGCCTATGCCAACACGTGCCACAGTTTTGCTCCTTCATCTTCTGGCGGTGATCATTCACTTTTGATGGTGATCATTCACTTACCAATATAATTCCAATATAATCAGGTCTGGTTAAATTACGTTTCCAAAGCAAAATTCCCTGCCATCGAGTGGGCCTGACTCCAACACCCTTGCTTTCTCCAAAAGGTTACCTATGGAATATGCCACCGAGCTTTGGGAAATGCACGTGGGAAAACTTGTACTGCGCTTGCTACCCAGCCCGGGAGTGTCACTGCCTGCCCACGATTTCTGAGCAGTAGAGCCCTCCTGTCCCACTGACCCTCAGAGGCATTTTCAGATAGAAGTTTGCATGACACCGCTCTACACACACCTGTCGGCTCTTAGCCTTCATTTCTGGCTGCTGATGCAGGTGAAATTGTTTGGCAGCCTGCTGTCAATTAACCCTAGTGTATAAATCCTCTTCCTCTTTTCCCTTAAAATAAATGAAGGTTGAGACTACCGGGTTTCACTTGGTCTTGCATTTTCTCTAGTTTATAGTGCTTTCTGCTCCCCCCTTCTTCCAGTGTAGCCAGAGTTAGTAGGAGAAATTTAGCGTAGTGAAAATTTATTTAATTTTCTAAGTTATCATTTGTGGATCCCTTGGAAGAAGCTTGTGGGTGCTAGGTAAGCACAACTATTTTATTCAGTGATTTTTTGTTTGTTTGTTTTGTTGTTTGTTTTTTTTTTTCTTCTCCCTTTCAGTCAAATAGAGCAATCTTTTGAACTTCCTAACCAGGTAGCTATATAAGCTACCTCTTGCCTTTCAGTATGTATAAGAATTTGTAGACTGTCCTTGGAGCCTGCAAAAGGGCCTTCCTTTCAGAGGCTTAAAGCAATTGGACTTTAGGCTGCCTTTAATTTTTTTTTTTTAATTGTTACAAGACAATGCTTGGAGCATGAAAAATAATCACAATCGGTTTTGTATGTTTCTGTGACTTTTTAATGACTCATGGCTGAATGACTTGGGCTTTAGGTTTTCAACTTTTTGCTAGGAAGAAACCTAGCCCTTGGTAGGTGTTATTAGTCATCAATTTGGCAACCTTCTAGAACAATATCATCAGAAGAGAGGAGTGAATAAGAGTTAAACACTTTTCTCAGGCTTTGGGAAATTTTTAGATTGAATTATTTTGGTCTTCAATAACTAAAAATCTAGGCTAGAGAAAGCCTTTTCCTATAATCCAGCCTTTTTTTCTCTAGTAATTAAGTGTGGCAATTCATAATGAACATGCCCTGAAATCTCTAATTAACCTTTCCTCTCTCCCAAATCACACCTGACTTAGCAAGAAATTTTAAGTGGATAAAAAGCAGTGGAGAAAATCCTTTTAAAACCAAAAAGATTTGGGACCTTTTTTACATAGAATAAAATATTTAAGGCAAACTTTCAAAATATCTTTCAGAGATTTCCTGTAAAGGCCTTTTGGCAGGAATAGGTGTCAGCGAAGATTTGGGATTAAGTAACAATATAAACCACAATATCCTAGAGAAAGAGGGGTATCTTTTTTTTTTTTAATAGGGGGGAAAAAAAAAATCGACACACCTGATAATGAGAGAGAACCTTTTCTGTTCATTGGTTGTCATTAGAAAGACAAACATGAGATAAACTTCAATTACTGAATGAGCACAAACATGGCTTGGTGCACTTCTGTGACGGTGTATCTTAACTTGTTTCTATCTGCTGCCTCCTGTGGCTTATGAGAAGTCAATGGTAGAGAAACTGTCTGCCAATTATATTCTATATGTGCAAGCGCTTTCCAAGATAAATTTAATTACCCTTTCTTTAACATTGTTGTGAGCTGAGACCTGAAAAGAGTTAGAAAGTCTTATACCAAGTCTTAAGTTTTCAATGTCACATATATGGGTGGTCATGATGAATATCTGAATGTGCAGTTTTCAAGAGGGTAAAAGAATTTGTAACATATGGAAGCTTTATATACCAGCTTCAAACTTACACTCCTTGGTAAGATTCAGATTGACTAAAAGCGCATTTTCTTTTAGATCACTTGAGTGTGTTCCTGAACAGGCTGCAGCGAGCTAGGCTCTATTGCACCAAGAATTAATTTGCACAGGTAAGGAAAAATCTTCTGTACAGTGTACTGCCAGGATAAGGGTTTCAGATGAAAGCATGTATTCCATAACTTGTACAATAGGGAAATACCCATGACAAGACTTCCTTTTATAAAAAACAATTTTAATTTTTTTTCTTATTCTTATGTTCTAGAAAACATAGTCATGATATGACTCATTAAGCAAACAAAAGAGATTTAATGGACATGACTTTCCCTTTACCTAACTCAGCCCATTAGTAGGAAAATAATAGCTAAAAATTGAACCTTCTGATCTTTGACTTATAAATGGTGTCATTCACACCCGGTCATCTAAGAATTTAGAACAACTCCAGTAAACTAGGACTTACTAACTGAAATTTCTTAGGCATTTGTTTTCAAAGGGATTTATCTTTACTTTGTTTTCCCCTCTCTCCTCCCTTTAAAAAAAAGAGGAACAAGGAATGGGATAGAATACAAGTCATTCCCTGAGGCAGATAATGGCTGAGGTATAAAATGTCAATTATTCATGAAAAATAAATGTCTACAATTAGTTTTGAATCCTACATTTGGGTCTGTCTGTGAACACAGTGAAGCACTAGTAATGGTTTTAACTCGGGTCCAATGTCCTGGGAAGCTTCTGATTAGGGCCATAGCACAAAAACCACACCAGAAAGTCATTGATTTGTTGGGGTTTCACATTTAGCACTGAGATCTTCACGACTTTATTTTTAACAACAAAAAAGGAAACGGGCTGTGAGGAGAACTCATGGAAAAATATGCTCCCTTTTTGAATTTAGGTAAGGTGTATTTAGAAAGAGAAGCACTTCAGAAGACATATTAAGTGATACCTGGATAGGTCTTTTTCAGACTTCTTCCAGCTTCAGAGAAAGCTTTTCAAGGAATGATGTAAAATTTTATTTTAGTCATTTATATAAATTTATATCACAATTTGGGTTTTTCAAAGAATGTCATTTTGCTATTAGAAATTTAATTTTAGTCCTTCTCACTTAATTTTTCCCATGTCATGTAAAGATACAGTAATGTAATTTTTCTATTTACTTGGTGTATAATCAAGGATTTTCGGGTTTCTTGTTGTTTTTCTGGTTTTTTTTCTGGCAGTGGTAGTACTTGTAAAGCCGACCTGCTTGCTGAAGTAGCTGATGGAGAGTTGCACCATTTTTTAACTATTCCTTGATGAAAGCTGTGTAAGTGCAGAAAACATGCCTTTATATTTGATGACTGAAACTTGAAGATGGAATGTTTCTGTTTAGCTGAATATTAGCATGTGCAGGCTATTCCACAAGAAGGTCTAACAGCAAGGTGTTGTTTCAGCCGAGAACCATGCCTGCCATTAGTGGGCATGTGTGCATGTACTTAGTTACTGGCTGGGGCTTCTTGGAGCAAGGGGAGGTTTGCTGGGTTTTATTTTTGTTGGGATTAAATGCTTTGTTTATTTTGCGTATGCTGCCCAGACAGCAACAACCACTCTTTTTGAGACTGGGGGGGAACAACCTGTTCTTTGGTGTTACAAAGGACACAGGGTCTAACTGGACTAAAATTACTGGGGTAAGGGGGGAGAAGGTCCTTCTGTTTGTGACTTATCAGAAACCAGCTTACTTCTCCTTCCCTAATTTAGAAAAGATTTGCTGGTTATTGACTTCGTATGTGAAATCTGAGTGGTCAACTTTTTTTCTGTTAGGATTAAGGGAAACTGGATAGATTTGCTACATACAAAGCTTAAATAAGTTGGCTTCAATTCTCAGATTACTTCTAATCTAAATAAAAGCCAAACAAGCTTGGAAAACTTATGGCTAAAATTTAATACATTAAAAAAAATTTACATCATGGTTCTATAGAGGCTGACTTGAAAAACTTTTCTCTCTGTAATGCTCCTATAAACATGATTCTGATCTTTGTAGTAATATAGGTGTGTAGAAGGAAATAGTATTGTTCTCAGAGGACCGGAGGTAGTTTTGATGTAGATCAAAGAATAAAGCCTAGTAAAATAAGTTCTGTGTAAACAAGATTCATGTGATAAGCAGCATAACAGAAATTACATTCTGTTTTAAAAACAGTATCTAGGAACCTGGCAGATGACTATGGAGGGTTCGTTTGTGTATTAATGAACTATACAGGATGATACAGAGAGGTGATTGTGTGAGGGACTAATAACACAGGCAGACTTAGTGAAGAGAATAGAAACAGTAGTTAACTCTTACAAGAAAAGAAGATACTTCCGCTTAGGGTACGAAGGAGGTTATCAGCTCTAGATACACCCCCTTCAGAAGCATGTTAGTTTATTCATTTGAAAATCATGTAAAGCAGTTCAGTAGCCTCCCTGAGCTCAGATCACACACTGATTAAGAAACACCTGCATCTAACTGACCTAGTAATTTATGTCTTTTAAGCTAAATGTTTGGGTTTCCCTTCCCAGAAGGGCAGATGCTTTGAATGCTTGTTTAATCTTTCCTGTTAGTATTAATAATGTGTTTTGTTCATAAAAACAAGGAGTGTTGAAAGATGCTATAGATTTGCAGAGATAGTCATGCATGTCAACTAAGTTTCACATAGGCAATTCGTTTGTGTAATTTTAGAAGTGCCTTATAACAAATGTTATTTTGATTAATTTATCAGTTGATATAGCTGAAATGTATCAAAAGCAGCTGAGTGCATCCATTACAGTAGCTATTATCCTTTTTGTATGACTGCCTTCCTTTCAATACTAAAATTTGTCTCCTATATGATATTAGCAGGGAAGAACTTGAAACAAAATAACCTCTAGTAAAAATATTGGGAGTATAGTGGGCACAGTGTAGTTCTCACATCAGTCCAAATTAGGAGAACCTCTCTAGTTAAAAACTGTGGATATTCAAAGTTGAAAGCAGGATGAAAATTAGGTGGAGTTAAGCTAAATAATTGAAGGTACACTTACTTATCTGGTAAGGGCAATTTGCTGGATCCAGTTCAGAGCTAGTAGGATTCCTGGATTTCAAGCAGAGGCTTGAGTGCTGCCAAACCCCTTGAAGGCAGAGCCTTTGGCCACAAAGCAAGATGTATTTCATCCCCAAGTGCTTGAGTTTCGGTCTAGACTGTTACCTAATATTTCTCAATTATTGTCATCATCATTGTCTTTAATTGAATTAGAAGTCTCTGATATGGTAATAAAATACGACACAGATTACATCCAAGGTACACTAAGCACTGCTTTGGTTTCTGTTCTGCCCCCACAATGTTTAATAACTACAGACAGATTAAATTATAAGACCACATCTTACCGTAAACTTGATAGTTGCTCTGAGCCAGCATTACTAGAAGGATGTACAGTAAGATCCTTTTTATCAACATGACTGGAGGAGCCTTCATTCTCTGGGCATGGTAGAGAGAAGAGGTTCCCGCAGGTTTAAAAAGTGCAGTTCAGATGGTGTCTTGCATCCTGTTAGGTTTACCCAGGGTATATGTCTGAGCAGATTCCCTTTTCTAATTCTGTCAAGACAGTGCAGAAAGGGGCGGGGAAGCAATATATCTGCAAAAATCTGACGGGTTACACAGTTGTCGTCTTTTTTGTGGTTGAAACGTGAACTGCTTGATCATTTCACATCATCTCAGAACTCCTTGGCAATTCAAGGCAAAACATCTTTCACCCTTGTCTGGCTCCCCTTACAGTGTAACAAACATAGCTGCAGATTTTTTCTTTTTTGAAAGATGCTCCTGCAATTGAGGTTTTAATTTTACAAGCAGCGATATAGCAGAGAGAAGGGATGCACAACTGTATTTTAAACTTTTCCAGTCCTTGTGTATTACTCTAATTCAACGTTAACAAATTTAGAAGCTGAACAAATTCACTGTTCACAAGCTGGTAGATGTCAGAAACACATATCTGAATAGTCTTAATTTGCATTAGATTAATTTACAATAATCTGCACTATAAGATATGAGTGCTTCTACTATTTAGTCTTAGCACCCTCATGACATAAGGCCAAGTAATTTGGGTTTGGATTTTGTGGGTTCTTTTTCAGCATGTTCTCAACACCGTTTTTCCCCTAAATATTTCTAAAATGTTGAACTTTCCCAAAAAATTCTGTCAATGCAGAGTTTCTTCATAAAGTTATCTTCATAAAGTTAGAACCAAACTAAGGTTGAACAGGAACTTTGTATATAGCAATTATCACTTCTGCTTATAATGCAAATACAACCACCGGAAATAGAAACCAGGGAAGAAATTAATGCAGTTATGAAATCCTGCGTTAAGTCATGCCCCATGTTAAAATGGGGAGGTTTAGACTGGACTTTAAGAAGCATTTTTTTTTAAAAGAAGGTAGTCAAACACTGGAACAGGCTTCCTAGAGAGGTGGTCAATGCCCCAAGCCTGTCAGTGTACATTGGGACAGTGCCCTTAACAACATGCTCTAACTTGCGGTCAGCAAGTTTGACTAGGTGATCGTTGTAGGTGCCTTCCAACTGAATGATTCTATTCTAAATATTTTAAGCTTTCTAGACAAAATATATGCATATGATGCTCTAACAAAAATCTAAATTACCAGGATTTTTTCGTAGTAATATTTTGAAGAAAATAATTGAACAGCTTTCCAAAACTTCGTGGTTGGAAGTGTCTAGCTAAGTAAGTGATGATCAGGAGAATCATACTGATGTTTGTAAGAAAGTGAAATAGCCTTACAAAAATTACAATCCAGCCTAAAGAGAAAATATTTATGAAAGAGAACTCCTTGAGTATAGCTGCACACATAGTGTGCTTCCACAAAATACTAGTACCGCAGATTGCATTTCTGTATAGTGAAGACATCTAGTGGCTGAATCCATAGCTAGCTTAGATAGTAAAACTGGTCATTAAGGGATGCATTTCCTGGCAGTGGAACTTCTGCTTGTGTTAATGTTGAGTTATCCAAAGTTTACGCTAGGAATGTAATATCAGTAGTTGGTACTTAATCTCTGTATTCTTATTAGAAGAACTGTTTTGGGCTGAGTCCTTTGCTACTGACTGAACCTTTTTAATAAGACAAGGTTTTGTCTGTTCTCTGTGGTGTTTTGAGATTTGCTTTCTAGGTGGATAATTTCTTGTTGGTAACTTTGTGGAAGTATTCTGAACTGTAAGACAGGTACATTAGCCTTTTGGGAGAGGTGAGGTGGGTCAGAGTGGCAGGAAGGAGACCGTATTTCCTGTACTGCATATTGTATGTGGCTTGTGAGGATTCTTTACTTTGTATTTTCAATAGTAAGTATCTTGGACACTCATCTATGTTTTTGGAGCCCTTTTCTTAAAAAGGCTCTGGCAAATGTGACTTCTACTATCACTGATGCTTCATTATTTCTTTTATCTCCTTTCTGCTTAAGAGTAGGGTTGTAGTTTTTTTGGTGGGGTTTTTTTGAGAATCTGCTGGAAGATGGCAAAGAATCTGAATTTTTCATGTTTTCTTGTTAAGACTTTATTACCTCCTTGAGACATTCTTGGGAGCTTTTTTTATTTTTGTGATATTATTAAGTTATAAATGAGATCTTTTAGATCTCCAAATGGTAACTTATATTCTAATTTTTTGAGAAAATCAGTCTGTGAATTTGAGAGACTAAAGTATTTTAGTTTTGCTTTGAAAACATGTTTCAAAGGATAGCAAATACTAAGTAAATATAAAATAACTATTTACCAAAAAAAAAGGATTAAAGTCCTAATCTAAAACTGCATAACTAGGAGAGGGAGGAGGATATGCATTTAATTCAAGATGAGGTATCATTTGAAGATGGCAGAAAAAGATGTCACTAGATGGCACTGATTGCCACTATCTGCAGTAACTCAGTTACTTCTTTGCTATATGCAAATCAGACCTCAGCTGAATCCTAAGATACCAAGTAGTTAAAGAACTAAAAGAATTCAATGCAATTCAAACACAACGATTAGCACAATTCTGTGTGTGTTGGATACTATTTTCAGGGAAAGGCTCAAAAAATATACAGTAAAATTCTGATAGTCTTGAACACCTGAGGATTGCTATTAATAGCAACTTTCTTCACTTGATTCAGTCCACTTTGTCACATCTGCTGCTTCTTTACTGAATGCAAGTGGGGGAAAAAAAAGTAATGTTCCTTCTGTTCCATGTCAATTTTTCTTCTGACAAGACAAGGTTGTGTTTTGGGCTTGCATTTTCCCTGTTTGCAGGTGGGTAGGCATTGGCCTCCAACCACATAGAGAGATACAGCATTTAGATAGAGGGCTCCAGTAAGTCTGCTGAAAATCACCTTGTTGTGGTTTAACCTGGCAGGCTGCCAAATACCATGCAGCTGCTTGCTCACTCCCCCCCTGCCCCCCCACCCCCTGGTGGGTTGGGGAGAGAATCAGAAGGGTGAGAGTGAGGAAAAAAAACTCGTGGGTTGAGATAAAGATAGTTTAATAGGACAGAAAAGAGAAAATAATAACAATATATATAAAATGAGTGATGCACAATGCAATTGCTCACCACCTGTGCTGACTGATAACCAAGTAGTGATTGGTACTTCCTGGATCATGCCTACCATTCATATACTGAG